CTGAGTGGACAAGTTCACCCACACGATGGAGACTCTTTGCTGAGCCCTTAAGCTGAATGTGTCTGGAGCAAAGTGTACTGTAGTAGAAACAGCGACCTAAGTGTTTATCACTATTTGTGAAGATTGGTGCTAAATAATGGATGTGTATTAACTCCTCCAGTGCTCACAGCAACTGAGAGGTGGGTATGGTTATCATTATTCCCATTTTATTGGTGTGGACACTGGGGCTCAAAGAGGTTAAGAAATTTGCCCCAGATTACTCAGAGTGGACAGCAGAGTCAAACACAAATCCAGGGCCGGACACGGTGGCTCACGCCTGTCATCCCGGCACTCTGGGAGGCCGAGGTGGGCGGATCATGAGGTCAAGAGATTGAGACCACCCTGGCCAACATGGTGAAACCCCATCTCTACTAAAAATTCAAAAATTAGCCAGGTGTGTTGGTGGACACCTGCAGTCCCAGCTACTCGGGAGGCTGAGGCAGGAGAATCACTTGAACCCAGGAGGCAGAGGTTGCAGTGAGCCAAGACTGCGCCACTGCACTCCAGCCTGGCAACAGAGAGAGACTCTGTCTCAAAAAAAAAAAGAAAACACACACACACACACACACACACAAACACAGTACTTGATGAGGACCGAAGCCTGTGTACCCACCATTAATACCGGTGAGTCTGTCACCTGGGGGTGATTCTGCAACCCCCCATCCCCACTCCCCAGGGCTATGTTAGCAGACATTTTTTTTTGTCATGATGACCCCAGGGGTGAGGAGAAGGCGTGCGCTACTGGCATCTGGTGACTACCTTCAAGGATGCCACTGTGCTGCTAAACATCCTACAGTGCACAGGACAGTCCCCCTCCCCGCAACAGAGAACGATCAAAATGTCAACTGCACCGAACAAAGGTGAGAGCCCTGCTTCACACTGTCTCCCGGGTTTCCACCGACATGTCCACAGGCCAACAGGGCCTTTCATGTCAGGATCTAGAATCCAAGATTCCCTGGAGTTCAAATGCGCTTTGCTCACCCTCTTCCCAGTCTTCTTTCCCTCTGCCAGGAACAAAACTCTGCCTTCAAATCCTGATGTCGGCCTACAATGCAGAATAACTCCAGGGACAGGATGAGTAACAAGTCTGGGAGACATCAATGGTGAAATGCCAAGCACGGACACTTACCCCTGGACACAAGGGTGAAACATGCACACACACTGTCAGAGGAATAGCACTCAGGTGGACTTTAAAAGTCATGGACCACAAGACTACCAAGGAAGGGCTGTGAAAGTTGCTGTCACCATCCATGAGGCGATCTCCATGGTGACAAAGGCCAACGAGATGCTTTACACAACTGAAAACATTTCCTTGTACAAAACCAGAGACATGTACCCTCTCCTACTCAAACCAGCAGGTCTCAACCCTGGCTATGCATGAGAATCCCTGTGCTGCTACCTGTACAGAGGCCCAGGACCCACCCAACATCACAGAGAATTGGAATCTCTGTGATGTTCAGGAAATTTCCCTAGGTGATACTGATGCCCAGCTGGAGTGGACAGCTGCTGCTCAGCCTGACACAGAGGTGGGATGGGCTCAGAGAAGACAGACAGCAAGTGGGTGGAGGAGGGACTTGGTGTGAGGGGGAGCAACTTAGGATCTCAGTCTGGCAAGGCAGAAGCCAAGAGGGCATCTGACTGGAGCTTAAACAGCAAGAGCAAACACATGACCATGGGGCGGTCCCTAAAGCTTCAAAAAGCACAGGCAAGGGGGTCCCACTTCACAGTTAATAAGAAATTAAACATCCTTGCAGGCTGTACAAGCCCAAACCAGACATGGAGTGTTCAAGAAACACACAATGACTGATTAAAGGACGGCAGGGATATCTGAGGCACAAATTCCACTAAGGTTTGATATCCTGAGGACAGCTATCCCAGAACTAGTGTCAGAGGCAACATGCTAGGTGAGTGTGATACTTACAAGGGAAAAAAGTGAAGTTCAAAACATTCCATTTCTCTCTTTGGCCCTTACCAATTCAACTATACCATTTACAAGCAACAACTCACGGGTACAACATATGCTGGAAATAGTATCCCCTGGAAAAGGGCAACCCATAATTTCCCCTTTGTGCTCAAATGTATTACTCACAACAGGGTCCTCAATGGTAAATTCATTCATTCAACCAGTATTTCTTGGATACCTACTCTGGGCCAGGCACCATCCTAGTTGCAAGGGATCAATCAGTGATCATGACATAAAAATCCCTGACCTCATGGAGCTTACATGGGGCAAACATGCTAGTAACATCTAGCATGCCAGATTGTAAGAGCTCTGCAGGAAAATCAAGCTGGGTGAACGGAATAGAGAACATGGATATAATTTGAAATAGGTGGCCAGAGAAGCTGTCATTAATAAAGGAACATTTGAGTAAAAACCAGAAGTGAGCCATGGGGGTATTGGGGGAAAACTGTTTCAGTTAGAGGAATCAGCAGGAGAAAAGGCTAAAAGTGGGGAGTGTATGAAACATTCCAAGAGAACTGAAAAGCCAGAGTAGTTACGGTAGAGCGAGTCAAACAGAGAATGGTGAGAGAGGAGGACAGGGAGGTACTGGGGCCACTATGGGTTAAGAAATTTTCAGATTGGTAGGGGTAAAGGGAATGGGGGGCCCAAGCATTGGCCGTGTTGGTAGGGAGAAGTGGTCACCCTTTGGAAATAATTTTAAATCAAGCAGAGAATGGCGAGAGAGGACAGAGAGGTACTGGGGGTCACTATGGGTTGAGAAGTTTTCAGATGAGTAGAGGTGGAGGGAAAGGGGTGCTCAAGCACTGACAGCGTTGGTAGGGGAGAAGTGATCAGCCTTTGTAAATAATTTTAAGTCAAGCAGAGAATGGCAAGAGAGAGGGACCTCTCTAGGTATTGGGGGCCACTAAGGTTGAGAAGTTTTCAGATGGGCAAGGGTGGAGAGAAAGGGGGGCCCAAGCACTGACAGTGTGATGGGGAGAAATGGTCACCCTCTGGACATAATTTTAAGGTAGAAAAGACAGGATTTGCTGTGGAGTATGAGAAAGAGGGAAACCAGGGGTGACTTCAAGGTTTGGGGCCTGAGGAATTCAAAGAATGGACCTTCCTAACTACAATGGGAGAAACACTGTGGGCTGGGCAGGTGTGATGGGGAGATAAGGATTTTGTTTTGGAAATGCTCTAAGATGTGCCTATGACACATCCAAATGGAGATGTTAAAAGATGATGACGGACATGAGTCCTGAGTTCAAGAAACTACATGGGCTCAGGATGTAAATACATAAAATATGTCCTACTGATTCCCATCTATCCAGTCCCCGTGTAACTGGATCTCATGAGTTGGAATGCTGCAACCCTCCACGGGCTCCTTTAAAGATATAGCAGCTGGGTGGGGTGCAACGCTGGGTAGCCTGTAATCCCAGCACTTTGGAAGGCCAAGGTGGGAGGATCACGAGGTCAGGAGATAGAGACCAACCTGGTCAACACAGTGAAACCCCGTCTCTACTAAAAATACAAAAATTAGCTGGGTGTGGTGGTGCGCTGGCTGTGGTAATCCCAGGTACTCCAGAGGCTGAGGCAGGAGAAGAACAGCTTGAAGCCGGGAGGTGGAGGTTACAGTGAGCTGAGATTGTGCCACTACACTCCAGCCTGGGCGACAAAGCAAGACTCCGTCTCAAAAAAACAAAGAGAGATGTAGCATAAAATGGCCAAGAATCAGGGAGACCACCTGTGCTGCTACCTGTACAGACGCCCAGGGCCTGCCCCCAACACCACACAGAATCGGAATATGCAGGGACTGAGCACCCGTGGTCTGGCATATGAAGCCAGGCCACCTTGGTTCACAGCCCTGCTCCTTCCCAGCTGTGTGACATGCCTTGGATAAGCGACTTAACTATTTCAACTCACTTTCCTTACCCAGTGAATGGGGATAGTAGTATCTATACTTCATACCAGGGAAAACCGTATGTCAAGACTTTGCACCATAACTGGTACTACCCCAAATGCTCCACGAGACCGAGCACTTCCTATCATCATTCATTCGTTAGTGCAATTAGGTATGGAAAACCCTCCAGTCACAGGGAGCACCGGATGGGGAAATCAGGGCCAGACAGGTAGAGAGTTTGCCTGCATTTGTGCAAACTATAAAAGGGGGAAGCTAAAAATAGCCCTCAGAAGTCCTGAAGCTACAGCGATGGCAACACGACTGTGGATGGAAGCAGACATCAGTCTTACGGTGCCTTCTCTGCGGGATCTGGAAGTGTAACCTTGTCAAAAATACTCAGGCGGGCTGTCAGCGCTCCACAGAGGAGGGAATCGCACGGTCGGTCTCTGTCTGGAAGTGCAGCAAAAAGGGCCAAAAAGCAGCCAGGGCTTTCGGCGGCCCAGACACTGAGGTGGGCCCTAAATGAGGGGGAGACGAGGCGCCCCGAAGGATCCGGGGGGAACTGGCGGGAAGTAGGGGCCGAGTTCGGGTCAGGGATGAAAGCCGCCTGGGCTTCCTCTGTCTGCGGCGTGGGGCTGGCCCGCGGAGGACGCTGGCCTCACGGGCTTAGAAGATGGGCAGCCAGGCCGGGGAAGGGGAGATGCCGGATGGCCGGGGACGAGGGGGCGGGGAGGGAGCGTGGCGCGCTCCGGGCCACGACCAGGCCCCAAGGTCTATTTACATCCGTGGCGAGGCACTGGGGCCGCGCCTCCCGCCCCCTTCAGCCCCAAGCCTGGCTACGTCGCGGAGGCGCCTAAGGGCCGCGACCCCAGCGGCCTCCCGGCTCCTCTAGCCAGACGACAGCAGGGGCCGGGGCTGCCGGGAGTCAAGGGCCGGGCCGGTGAGCCCGGCCTGAGGGGACGCAATGGGGGGCGGCTGCGGGGCCCGCCAGGACGCAAGCCTGCACCTGACGGGACCCTCGCACTTAGCGGTGCTCTGCACACAGGCTTGTGGCCCCTGGTCCTCCCGCCGCCCGTTCCCCGGCCGTCAGCCGGTCCCCGATGGCGCCTCCCCTACCTTCGTTCGCCAGGTCCGCCATTTTACTTCCTTAAGCCCTCCCACAAGGCCCCGCGTCGGCCCAGGCTCGCCTGCTTTCTGCCAGAAATTCCCGCGCGTGCGCGCTTAATAAGCCGACTCCGTGTGAGACTGCCAGCTCGCGCCTGCGCGCTGAGCGCCGCGCGGAGGCGAGTTGCCCTGCCGAGCCGCTCTCCCAGTAAGCGCCTGCGCACGAGCCGATTCCGCCTCCTTTTCCCGCCGACGGAGGGGGGAGGGGGCGGGGCCCGACGGGGCGCATGCGCAGTGGCAGCGTTCGCATGGCCGGCGCGGCGACGGCGGCTAAGGTTTAGGAAGGCGGTGCGGCGAGACGGGTCTTGACGCTCTAGTTTTCCCGCTCGTTTTCCGGGGATCCCCGCTGTGGGACAGTCAGCAGTTCAGGGTGCCGCAGCCGAGGCCTTCCTCCAGATAAATCCCCGGGGCTGCGGGGGCTTCCCCCACGCGCGGGCGGCAGGGCGAGTTACGTCCTGCCTCAGCTTCCCCCTCTCAGGAGCCGGTACCGTCAGCAAACGCCTTCCTGAGGCCACCGGTGAAGTGGCGGGAGGTCGCGGGGTGCTTGGGATTCGGGGGGATCAGAGCTCATCGGTGAGAACGGGGGTTGTGAGCAGGTGCGAGGAGGGGGCGCAGCCCCGAGACCCAGGTGCTGGCGGGGGGACCCGACGCGAGGGACTCGACCCTCAAAGCCGCGAGAGTCAACTTCAGAAACTCACAGGAGGGTACTGGACCCCGCGGGCGTCCAGGTTCCCCATCTGTGAAATTGGACCGTCAGCCTCACTCACAAGGCTCATAGGAGGGTACTGGGCCCCAGGGGCCTCCTGTTCCCCATCTGTGAAATGGGACCGTCAGCCTCACTC